AATTTATCATAAATTATATACTTGAATGCTGTTGAGACAGTAACATAAAGATTTGGAAAAATTTGCTTGATTTCATGTTAAATATGAATATAGAATATTTTGTAAATTGTAATCATTCATACAGAATATAGAATATTTTGTAAATTGTAATCATTCATACAGAATATAGAATATTTTGTAAATTGTAATCATTTATACAGAATATAGAATATTTTGTAAATTGTAATCATTTATACAGAATCACAGTTGGAAGGGAGCTCTGGAGATCATCCACTCTAACACCCCGGCAAAGGCAACTTAGAGCAGGTTGCACAGGAACTTGTCCAGATGGATTTTGAATCCAGAGAGGGAGACCCCACAACCGCCCTGGCCAAGCTGTTCCAGGGCTCTGTCACTCTCAGTGTAAAGAAGTTCTTCCTCACGTTGAGATGAAATATCTGTTCAGCATCTGTTCCTCTCCCTATCACTGGGCATCACCTTAAAGTCTGTCACCATTCTCTTGACACCCACCTTTGAGACATTTATAGGTATCGATGAGATCCCCTTAGTCTGCAGCTGTATCAGCCAAACCCCCACTCCCCAGTTTTGTATMTTCAGCAAAATTATTAAGGGTACATTCAATCTCTTCATCCAGGGAAAATCCAGAATAAAGCATTTTCCTACCCATTCTGCCAAAAACTAGGAGCAACACAGCCTATCAATTAATATTTGTGCATCTAAACAAAATATCATTCCATTTGTGACTAGAAATCCTCATTTTCAGGTATTCACCTCCTCTTCTTCTGGGTGTGAGCCAAAGACTGTACCTGGAACATTTCACATCATGAAAATTTCCTGAATGGATGTGGTTTAGAAAGGTTTTTTTGTTTGTCTAAGATCAACCTTTTGTATTTAAAGAGTGGACAGCATTTTTTTTTTAAATTTCCCTTCAAAATTGATGTCCGTCTGTATTTTTCAGTACCTCCAACTGAAAAATGCTGGAGCTATTAATRGTGGTGTAAGCAGATGCAAGGTCTTATAACTATTATTGCTTTTCAAAAGCTTCTTCACTGTGTTTCTTGCTACAGGCATACATGTGGATATAGAAATACAGCATCACTGATTCTCATCACACTGGTATAATTTTGTTATTAGTTTTCTTCTATATTGAAAAATAAAAAGATATATATATTAAAAAAAATACAATTTCTCATAGTTTTGCCCACTGTTTCTCCCACAGATTTGAGTCCAATGCAGGCAGGCAGTAACAGAGCATTAACATTCTTCTGGTCTGCTGACTTAAGACACCCACATAGAGGTAATCCCCAAAGCTTTCAAGCAGCATAATGTACACACTGAGCAAAGGAACTGCCTGACAAAGCAGTTTTGGAGAAACCACATCTTCATATCTCAGAAAGGAAAGTGTGGACTTTAACAGGCAGGGTAAACAGCCTTCTGTAGTGCCTGTATCCAGCCTGATCCTCTTATGCGCTTATGGCACACTAACAGCCCTGAACTTCCAGAGCAGGAAGCAGGGCAGGAAGCCAAAGGCTGGTTTGTGTCACTTAAAATGTAGTCATTGATGGATCTAGATGTTTGAGTGTTTGTGTTGAGTGTAATCCAAACAGCCAAACAGTTTTTGTGCCTTTCCAGGACATCCACAGAAACTTTGTTGTTTTGCAGATGGAGCTGCTGGAGCATKGTTAAGATAGTGTTTTATCATAAAGTTTATCAACTATTTTTAATTTCACTATTTCATTTTGAAGATGAGGCAGTTAATATTGGACACCTACCTCACAGCCTGTGTTTCCCCTTCAGTGCTCTGCAACTTTCCACTAACAYGACTCCTTAATTTATTTTCCTTTTTATTGAATGAACTATAGTCATCTAAATTAGGCCAAGTCTTTTGAAAAAGAACAAAAACGACAGACGTAGGCGAGTCTCTGAAGCAAAATTTACTTCAGAGCARTGTGTGCATACAGAGATTATGAGAAAAAACTCATCCTTTCTCAAAGCAAGAATATTTGATTGTGGCTGTACAAAAAGGCTATTGATTTCATAGCTCTGCACCTCTCACTTAATAACAATAGAAAACCAAAACAGCAGAGAATGTGAATTTGTGCACCTCTTCTCATAAAGCCCCATAAACCTTTTTCCTTCTGGTTTTCTCTAGTTAACAGTAACTTTGTTACAGTCCCTCGGTGACACTAGATGGCACTTCAGAGTAGCGGAGGGATCAGAAAGTCTGTAATCTTTTCTAGATATTTTGTATATGACATAAAAGATGCATTAATGTTTGCTTTGAACAATTTGTGAGCGTCCTCCTAGTTTTTACATACAAATGTGAGGTAGAAATGCTATCTGTT